GGGCCTGGGGTCCTTTGGGGTCCAGGATGTGGAACCGTGTGAGCCGCCTCCTCTGTCACAGCAGCCGTCCCACTGACGGCCCCTCCCTGTGCTGACGGGCCCCGTCACCCTATTCTCTTCTCCTCCCTCTCCAACCCCCACATCTCCTTCCTCCCTTATATATTGCACACACCCCTTTAATCCAGATTCTCTTTTACCTTCGTCTTCCAAATTTTCCCCTAAATAAAATCTTTCTTTCAGCCTCTTCTCATGTCACTCTGAGCACTGCGCCCCACCACCCCCGCAAAAAAAGAAAAAGAGATTCTGATCACTGTACAATACCACCATTCATATTTTACGAGGAAGGAAATGTATTCGTTTTGATATTAAATTGTCACAATAAAGGGCTAGCTTCCCTTGTGCCTTAGGCTGGGGGAAAAAAAAAAATCCACCTACAATGCAGGAGACCTGGGTTCGATCCCTGGGTTGGGAAAATCTCCTGGAGGAGGGCACAGAAACCTACTCCAGTATCCTTGCCTGGAGAATTCCAGGGACAGAGGAGCCTGGGCAGCTATAATCTGTGGGATCACAAAGAGCTGTACACGACTGAGCGTGTAAATGATAAAAAATCATCTCTCAGTGTTCATCTTACAGAAAGGGACTGAAGTTTAAGAGGAAGCAGAATTTGCATCCTACTTCCTATGGTTTTAAATGTTTGACTTTGTAATTTTACATGGCCCATATATTACTCTCATGTTTTTGTTTTATTCTTAAGTGATACATATGATGAGAGGGTTGATTGGCACTGTTGTTCTTGAATTACACACACACAAAGTTTCAGTTACTTTATGGAGTAAAATAAGTCCTGTGGACCAGCTTGAGCATCTGATCACTGTTTATAAGGTGACCAGCATCCTCTTCAGTTTGCATGCAGTGCAGAAACTGGCTTACAGATAGACTCCTGGGTTATAAACTGTGAAGGACCATATTGGATCAACCAATTTTCAAAACACAGTATGGAGAGTAGCTGGTTGTCTAGTGTCAGATATGATGGAAGGTGTGTGCACAGGTCCACTTCCTGCTTGGAGATTCTGTGGGCAAGTCTGCATCTTCCCCCCAGGAGACACAGGCATCATCAATCCAGGATGTCAGAGGCCACTTGCCCATGGAAAATGGATGTTATGTCTATACTGTATGTAATGCAAACTATCCATACAGTAAGTGCGTATTTTTCTGTAATACATATGGGTAAGCACATATTGTACTATGCATCACACAGTAAACACTATACTCAACTTGCCTTTTCCAGCGTTAAATTTGTTGTACTTCTACCACAGTGAAACTTTCATCATCTCTTCCTTCCTTATTATGATGATATTAATATGTAATTAAATAGCAATAGTAATCATCTCCTTCCAGTATTGCCTAGAAGGTTTAGTCAGCTTATCTGAAGGCACGGCAGTTGCTTCCAGCAGTGAACACAGTCACGTTTCATGACTCGGGGACGGGGGCAGTGCAGGCGGTAGGGAGGGTGGTTCTGTCCCCACGCTGCACCGGGGCCTTGGCTGTGGCTGCATGGGGCTTGCTTTCTTTCCTGTGATGAGCGAAGCTCGCGTTTGCTTGCTTGCTCGTTTGTTTGGACGTACAGTGCACGGGGCTTACTTTCTTTCCTTTAATGAACGAACCTCTCATTTGTTTCCTTGTTTGTTTGTTTAGATATACAGCTAAGGAGTGTTTTGTAGGCACACAAGATCACACATACACACACACACACACACACACACACACACACACACAGAGTCAGTCCCTTACAGGTTTTGTAGCCACACAAGAACACACATACATGAGCCTCTCACCATCAGTTTTTCTCCTTAACCATAGTTTTGTTCTTTGGAGCAGAATTACTGCTCCCTGTATTTCAGCTAACAAATAGTTCTCATACTCTGTTGAAAGGATATAGCATCCTTGGTTGTAAAGAAAGAAAAGGATCTCCATTCAGGTTTACAGTTCCCAGCCTGTGCTTCTGTCATTTAAAAAAAAAAAAAGTAAGATTACAAGGAAATGTTTGCATGAACTTAAGAGGCATTAGCTTTATTTTTCAAAACATTGTTTGCAAGCATAATAGACTTTGCAGTTGTTTATAGCTTTTAAAGTATTCATCAGTATGAAATGTTTATTTCCTTTCCTTGTTCCTTCTGATCAAGGACCAAAAAAAAAAAAAATCGGTCTCCTAGCAATATACAGTGCTCTCCGCTAAGTTATTTGTCAGATTTTATAAAGTGCATTTACTGTCGTTGAGGCAGAGGTTTAGAATAACTGCAGAATTACCAAGGGGATGTGACCCCACGTGGTGTTCTGTAGATCTCTGGGTGTATTTGGTCCCTAACCCTCACGATTGATCTTGTCCTTTCTTCCCCACTGACCAGCAAGGGCTCCTTCCCTGTGCTGTTCATTCATGCTGCCCTGCGCTCATTCAGGCATCCGCCGCTTCCTCTGCCTGGCCGGCTCAAGGGGCAGATTGGCATCTCTTGATGATGTGCAAAACTGCTTTCTTAGTCCACGCTTCCGAGGGGCTACTAGCCACAGAGAAGGCGAAATGGTGTTCATCTACCCTGAGATCCACCAGGCCCTTGGTCTTATTTTCCTTCTCAGCAAGTTTTCTTAAAACCTTAAAAGGTTTTTGTGGGGTTTTTTTCCCCTCTCCTCTCTCTCTCATTCAGGGAGATCAGGGCGAGAAAGGAAGTATGGAATCATAAAAAGAAAAAAAACTGCCCTAAAGAAAAGGAAATATGCAGAACCCAGCATGGAGCTTTTCCTTCTGTCATAATCTATCAATAGGGGTTCGATTGTTGATCATTGTGGCTTATCTGTCATCCCATTGCATATTATCTTCTCCCTTATGAGAAATGCGGTGTTTATTATCACAGGTGGCAAAACACAGAAGTAAAAAACAAGCACCGAGGTTACATTCAATCACTATAAGCGGGTTTCATGTTGGCATTTGTGCTCTCATTCCAAAACCAGGAGCCAGTAAAGCAAGCGAGCACACACCCTGACTTGCTCACGTGCAGATAGCCCAGAGAGGCTGAGAGAGCAGGTATGAGCCCCGAAAAGATCAACATGAAGTCACTCTCAGTGACGCTGAGCTCGCCGGCTAAAGAAAGAATTTAGAGACACCATTGTGCTACTGTTCAAATATTTGCTCATTGAACCTGGAAAGGAAAAAATGTTGGTCACTCCTGTAGGATTCCTGGTCCTTCTCCTTCTCTGAACAGCGTCTCAGAGATGGAGGAGCAGGGGATTGTTTATCTAAGAGAGAAATACAAGCTCTGTGTGTGGAGGTCCAGGTATACCTAACGTGGCCTTCGTTAAGCAAACATAATTTGGCGAGACACTCTTTTATGTTTCTTGACCGTGTATCCTAAGAAACAACTCGCCAGTCGGGCAGATTAGACCGTTGACTCTGAACGGCGCGTCTCCCATCCCGAGCCGCGTCCAGCAGCCCTGGCGTTAACCGAGCGGCGGGTGGCAGAGCGACTCAGGAAGCAACGGGAAGCCCGCGAGCAGATGTTGAGGATGGACGTTTGCCTTCCACACAGGCGAACCTGTAAGGCTGCATACTTTCTAAGTTTAACATCACTATTTGCACATCTGTGAATTTTAGATTTTTTTTTTTTTAAAGCACCACAGGGAACTTCTTAGGAGAGAGAATTTGCCCAGAAGGGATCATGCTCACAGACAGGACTAACGAGTCTCATGTTACAGGGCAGGTCTTTCTGATGCGTTTCTGTGGTTTTCTGCTCTTTGATTTGAAGCGACCCCTCTTGTTAACAGTGAGTGTGGCGCGGAGGGCTTCCATTCATCTCAATAGCTTGGTCATTTCCTCTCTGAAGGTAGGAGAGCTAATGAGAAACACAGATTAGGAGCCAAGATCTATTCTGAGATCAAGATAAGGTGTCCTAACAGAAGGTTTATGGTGAAAGCAAAGACTCGGGCAGAGTGTTGAATGGGGGAAAGCGGCTTGTTGTTAAAGTTCCCATCTGGCTTGAAACCGTTGTTCTCTGCTGTGCAAGCGCCGTGATGTGATGTCACTGTGATAGTTAGTGAGGAATCTGTGAGTGCAATTTGTCTAAGCCCCCTTTAGAATATACACAGCCCGCAACAAGAACTTCAGGGTGATTTGGGGTTTGTATAAACAGCTTCATGTATGAAAACGATTGCTTGTGAAAGCAAAACTGAGCTTTCAGTATCCTGTCTGAGTCAGATTCACTGTGAAAAGCCCGAAGCAGCGGGCTCGTGGAAGCCCTGAGAACGCAACCGCCTCGTCCCAGCGTGACTGCAGCCGGATGCCCTGCACGCCCACCCCGCGTGGGGTCAGCTTCAGAGCCGGCGGAGGGACTGAAGGGGCTGCAGCACTGACTCCACTGGCACGCAGGCAAAACTCACCCCCACCGACAGATGACAAGCCCTCAGCATAAAACCCCCGAGGTTCTGAGAAATGGAAGGTCTGCTTTATTTAATTTCCTCTCGTTTACCCAGAGCCCCGATCTATTTTAGTAAATAAATTCAGGAAATTGGTAAAGCACTTTACTCCATCCGTTATGTATCCGTAATTAACGTGATTGTCACGTTTTTCCTGGCTCCGGCGCTGTGTTGCTCACAGCTTCCCTCCCGTGCCCGCGACCGGCTTATAAGGTCCCTGCTAATGGATGTCATGGAGTTTAAACCGCTTGCACAAACAACATAGCCCATACGCTGTGCAGAGTAGGGCACTTCCTCTGTTCATAAAGATTCCTGACCTTAGAGACGTCTCCACTGGTCCCGGCACTGTCTCCCAGTAATCTGTGTCCCTGTTCAGCACCGGCCCCTTTGCAGGGCAGCACAGGAGACAGCAAGTGGCCGTTCATTCAGAGGTGTCAGCCACCACCTCCCTGCTCTGACCACCCCCTCCTGCCCTCCCGCCCGAGCTGGCGGTGAAACCTGAGCCGGCGTCGCCGTGCCCGGGAGAGGTGCCCCGTTACCTTCATGAGCCACTGTGTGTTGTTCTCCATGATGTTCTCCAGCACCTGCAGCCTCTGCACTGAGTCGTCGTAGTCAAGGGGCGCGTCCCTCTGCACGGCGTTGGGCATGTAGGCGCTGGGGGGCGAGCGGCAGTGGTCCGTCTCGGGCAGGAGGAACGTGTAGCTGCAGGCTCCGTGCTGAACCTGATACTGCTTCTTCCCGGCGGCGATGTCCATGCCCTTCCGAGAGCCGCTGTGGGCTGTGGCTACGGCCAGATCACAGCTCAGAGTCAAGAAAACAAGCTGCCACATTCTTTCTGTCTGTCGGTAATAAACCACCCTCTCAGCAAACTTCCAGGCGCATGAGACTCCCGGCGCTAAGCTGCCCTCTCAGACCCCGGGCTCGGGGACAGAGGATCAAGGTCCATCAAGGAAAGCCTCCTGTTCCTCCTTTCCCAGCTGCGACCTTGGTCTCTGCTGCCGTCTCCTCTCTGGCCTCGCAGCAGACTGTCAGATCACAGTGGGGAGAAGAGCCCTGCTCCCCGTGAGGGCTGCATTCGCCTTCCAGACCCACGTCAGCGCTGCTTTGTCTCTCTGCCCCTGATTCTGTGGTGTCAGGGTCCGAATCAATCACTTTCCTTTCCTTATATGATAAGTTGATAAGAGCAGGCAGACATGTGCAGCCGGCGGCTCCGCCCTCCCGGCTTGTCCGTTATCTTCCTGTGGGGGGTCACCAACCAGGCCACAGGAAAAATCCGGGCTTGATGTGTACTGTCCAACCGGGACTATATGCTGCAGAAGCCCTCTGGGAAAAACCGATCAGTTACAGGACCCCTGGGTATTTCAGAGGCACCACCCTAATTGAGTATTTCCTAGAGAGAGCCTGTAGGTCTCCTGTGTCTGAAACTGATTTCACAGCGCGAAGCTGGTAAATATCTGGGGCAATAGCTTTAAAGTACAATGAAAGTTCCTGTTTTTTCCTTTAGGAATAAAAATACTGCAAATATGTCAGGACTTTGGTTTATTTTTGTTATTACAAACAAAGAGGAAGAAGTCTTGCTCTTGTAAACTCTGCCTTTTCATAGGGAAAATAGTTTCGTTGGTATTACTTGATTTTTGAACCATTTAGCCAAGTATGCAAAACTTTGATCTTAAAACAGCTGGATAGGAACATCACGCTTTATTCAATTTGTATTAGGAAAGTCAGTTTCTGAGCACTGACATTTAATCTTTTAAGTAAAATATCCACTCCAGTATTCAAAGTAAATTTAATATATAACTGGGCTGATTAATTGTCCGCTAAATTAGAATCCATAGAAAAATCAGAATTTAAGAGGGAGTTGAGAGTGGCATGTTTTAACTTCTCCTTTATTAGATCAGAATTTGCTCAAATCCTGTCATTTTGTAACATATTATCCAGGATCAGTTGAATCAGTCCCACTCAGTGCTGGACTCGGGCAAATCACTTCTTTTTAATTAACCCCAGAGTCCTTGTCTGCCAGATTCAAGGGCTGCATTAACTCCCAAGGTTTTTCTGTTTCAATTCCGTGGTTCCATAAATCCTCCAGGGTACTTCCTTCAATAGCTAAAACTTAAGGTTTTGGGGTTGACAGTATCCTTGCTCACCGGCCAGAGTGTGCACAGGGCGGGGTGTGGGGGCAGACCTGGAACCTCTGTGAGGGTCTGTCCATGCCCAAGGGCACGAGATTCCTCCCAGGCAACAGTGGCCAGTTCAGCACTGACCCAGTGAACCTCATCCACCTGTAAAGCCAGTGTCCATATAATCGTGCAAGACCAGATTTCAGGGGATTTTATGATTTTAATTCTTGGATAGCTGAGGTCTATAGAGTGAATTGTTTCAAGAGACCTGATTAGACCTTTAAAGACATCCCTCCTGTGCATGGACTGGCCCCCAGCTCACCTCCAGAGCGGGGTTTCTTAACCCAAAGTTCACAGACAGAACTCGTGGGGTCCACAAAAGATGTCTTTCTTTTTTGCAAAAGTCTAACTGAAATACAGTCTTTCTTTTAGCTTTGAGTAGGTCACAAACAACAGTTGTCAGTGTCTCTGGCTTTCTCACGAATAGCAATTACAGATATTTTTATTACGATATTGCAAGCTGATACTTGCACTCAGCACGGCATTGTCATTTAACCCCCAGGGTCCTGTTATTCAATCTTTGGGTAAAATAGCTCATGTCATTTTTCTAAGAAGGGGTTTGTAGGCGCCCCCAGATTCTCAAAGGGCTTGATGGCTCCGGAAAGCTAGAACCTGATTTTGGTGCAAGGTTTCCACTAAGGGAACAAGTTAAAGATACACCCATTCAGACCGCTAACTGCAGAGGGACACATGTAGGATTCGAAGGCGGGACTTGTGTTAGAACCCTGACTCTCTGAGGTCTGCAGCAAATACTTAACTCCTCCAAGCCTCAGTTTCCCTACTTGCAAAATAGGATGGTTCTTTCTCAGTAGCACCTTTAGAGTTAAAACGATACGAAATAATGCTTGTAACTCAGAAATATTACTTTCCTTCTCCAGCACTTCCCATTAAATTTTCCACTGTCAGATATTGTCACTGTGTTATTCTCTGGCTGACCATGAAGCAGAAACACGGGGAGCACTTTTTTGTCCAAGTTGGTTCACCATTTGAAAGCATATATTATAAGGTAATCATATCGCACATGTGGTTTCCAAGATCACCTGTCTGCTTCTCAGACAAACAGGGTGGTTTAAAAAGAAGCCACAGGAAGAGTGGGTCCCACAAGCAGTCCTCGTCTGCTAGGTGCTGGGGAGCGTGATGGCGTGTCGGCCGTAGAGAAGCAGAGTGAGGCGGGGAGACCCTGGCCCTGGGATGTGGGGAGAACACGCCAGAAGAGTATGTGTTGTCTCCAGGGCATCGGTCCTGCCGTGGGGTAGGAGGGAGTGCTCCCTTGTCCAGACCCTCCGGTCCGGGCGTGCAGTGAGCAGCTCCCTGTAGGTACGTGGAAATCCTTCCCCGAGACTTGGAGGGGCACGTGGGTTGGCAGACGTGCCCTGTAAAGTGTCTGGGAGTAAGTATTTAAGGTTCGTAGGCCACCCGGGCTCCGTCACAGCCACTCAACTCTGCCGTCGTAGCGTGGAAGCCTCCAGAGAAAGCCCTTGAGGATGAGAGGTGGCTGTGTGCCAACGAAGCACTATTCGTCGACACTGAAATTTGAACTTATCATAATTTCCACGTCATGAAATATTCTCTGGATTTTTTCAGTCTTTTAAAAATGCAGGAACCATTCTTAGCTCACTGGCCGTTCTGAGGGGACCGCAGGCCTGGTCTGCTGGCTGGAGGGGGTTGCGGGGGGTGTGACACAGTCTCAAGGCCTCTCTGGAAGCAGCCAGTGTAAGAGGGAGCCTCGAGGAGCCTTCCGTGCCTCGGAGCAGTGCCCGTCTCCTCCCAGGCCAGTGAGACAGGCCAAGGGAAAGGGCTCAGGGAAGGGACGGGAACATTCGACCAAAAAGAAAGTGCCACTTGGAAGCCGCACCTACACTCTAAGAGGGAGGAGGCCCTGGGGAACTGCCCCAGTGTGGAAGCAGAGCAGCGCCTTCTGCGTTCGTTCAGGGCTGGATGCGGGCTGAACGTCGCACCGTTGAGGAAGCGCTGGGAAGACGGGCACGTCCACCATGGCCAGCGCGGGAGCAGCAGCTGGAGACCCCCGAGGGGCCAGCAGGGCCGAGCAGGGCTTCCTGGGGCAGTCAGGCGGGAAGACCCTGCCCTGGGTGCAGACTCACCCCCAGCAGGCGTTAGCAGCAGTGGCGACCTCCACCCCAGCCTGGGGATGGAGGCTGAATGCAGCCTTGACTGCTGCTCAGAGCTGTTCAGTCTCAGAGAGAATCTTGAGTTTCCGTCCATGATTTGCTGACAGGCTCGCTAAAGGCAGATGGGGCTATAAAACGAGAAATATTATTACAGCCTTCCCAAAAGCTGCATTCCTGCCCAGCCAATTTTTTTTTTTTTGTCCTAACAGTTCTGCCGAACAGCTGTGTGTGGTGCTATTTATTTTCTTAATAATGTTTGTTTTCTCCCCTGTACTGTATGTCATCAGCTGAAATTCCAGAGGCTCCCACTCATTCGCAGTAGCGCTGTCTTGGGCCCCCCTTTTGCACTTTGCCGTCAGGGAGTGAGCCCTCATTCGACGGCGCCAGGAGGACCGCGTGGCCATCCTCCCTGGCGAGAGCAGCCCTGCGGAGCTCTGGCGAGGGCGCCTCTGCTCCAGTCTGCCCGGTGGAGCAGACGCGCAGGATATGTGGGGAAAGCCTGGTCGTGGCTCCAGAAACATGGTCCAGAGTCGACGTGGACTCAGTTCTGTCGGGTCTGGGATCTGATTGACCCCAACCTTCCCAGGGCCACCCGTGAGGTGCCGGATTGCTGGTTCTGGAAGCCAGAAGCCAAGAGACAGTGCCAGCTTGAACTCAGTGCAGCGCAGGGCAGCCCCCAAGGCGTGGATCACCAGACGGTTTCAGGGAAACCTGCGTGACTTCTGCTCTTTCCAGGGAGCCTGTTTGATACTCGTATCTAACGGGTTAGTTATACTGTTGGACTTAGGAGGGACAGAAGTGGATCAGCTGTTGTGGAGGGTGGGGGGTGGTCATTGCCGTCTGAGCAGCAAGCGTATGTGGCAAGTGTCCACTCCAGAAGCCCGTGGCTAATGGGGAATAATGAGAAACCACGCAGACGTACTTGGGGGCACATTGATCTCCCGCGTCTACTGATGTTCTGTGCCAGTCTGTTTCCAGCGCATCTGGGCAGATCCCCAGAGTCCGTCTTGCACCTGCTGGTCACCGTCATGCAGTGAAGTGACCGTCACCGCAGCACAATGTCCGCGGGCCTCGGTGGTTGGGCCAGCATGGGCTTAGTTTTTCAAAAGTGCTGTGCTGGTATAAGAGGACCTCCGGCTGCTGAGATGCCCCCCTAGGTGACGCTGAGGACACTCTTGGCCCTCAGCTGTTCTCAGCAGGCTCTTCGGGACCCCAGGCCCTGGGCAGGCCGGGCCCGAGGGGCGTGGAGGCCTCTCACCCATCCCCTCCTCGGTCCCAGCCTTTTTAAAGTCAGTGAAGTCAGCAAACATGTGGACAGCTTAGTGTGCAGGGGAAGCCATTAGGAAGTTCACTGGACATCAAACTGTTGCAAGAGAAAAAGTTACTGCTTTTTTTTTCCCAAGTTGTATGCAACAATGAATGAAAGCTGAGGAAGCCACAAGGAAAAAGGAAAGAAGGGGAAAGA